GTGTATCTGACAAGGTCAGTCAAATCCCCTCAGGATTTACCCTGAAACCCTGTACTGCAGTTTGTAGATCATTTGTCAGTGTCAGACATGTGGATGTCACTCATTGCTTGTCTACTCATTTTCTTCAAATTACATAGTTCATTCTTTATTGGTGAATAATACACCAGTGTGTGCATATACTATGATTTCTTTCTCCATTCAGTGGTCGTTTAGGCTGTTTGCGGAGCTCTGGCAGCATGATTATGCTGCAGTGAACACAGTTCGCAATCTTTATTATAGTGTGGTGTCATTGAGTTTTTGGGAACATACCAGGAGGTACAGCTGGGCCAAATGGACTTTTTCTGAAGAGTTTTGAGTCATTTAAAGCTCAATGTGCTGATTGGGTCTTTCCTGAGGAGCAGGCCTGGATAAGTGATTCTGCAGCCCAAGAATGCGTCTAAGGTGCTGCAGGAACCGCTCTCCTGCACAGTGCAGCCCGGCAGTAGACACACAGAAGGCAGGAATGAAAGGATTGGGGTATCCATGATCCACAAGAACCCATTTCATATTTACATTAATCTATAATTTTGTTTCTAATTTTCATAAAATTGGTTTTAATGTTGTGAAAGATGTACTTTAGATCAATGATTATATAGTTGAATAAGTTATGTTTAGTTTGAGTTAAGTTAATTAAGTTATGTTTAGTTTGAGTTAGCTGTTTTTCTCTTCAACTTTAACGGTAGCTCAAAAAATACCACAAAAAACCCCAAAACCTTTAACAATAGCATACAAACTGGCCCATGTGAGGGTCATGCAATTAAGGAAGTAGGAAACTTCGATAGATGGTGCTCATATGTCCCTGTAAAAAGTTATGTCCTGAGACGATGAAGGGATTTTTTATCACTTTCAATATTTTTTTTTTCAGGTCACAGGGGTGCTATTTGATAAATTACTTTTCTCAGGCCTACAGAACTACCATTATCTCTTTGAAAAGGTTAATTCAGCTTTTCAAAGTGTCTAAGTTATTCTCAAAGAATAATTTGTACACTAAAAAGTCTTCTTATTTAGGAAGTGTTAAATAGAAAAAAAGTAAAGTATAAGTTGACAACAGGTAGATATGATTGTGCATACACAACGATTTTTGTAGGGATTGATCATATATTTTAATACTTCATATAAAATTCCTATGCTTATTCTCTTTCCCCAAGAGCTTGTTATTTTTCTCATCTTATTTTTATCCATAGCATTTATCACAAATATACTCTATGTTTCACTTATAGATTTTTGTTCTGCTTGACTTATTTTATTAGTAAGTGAGTTCTATCTGATAATGTTTTAAATTTCTGTACTTCAATCTCTTTGGACAGTACCAGGTATGCAAGTATCTAATAATCATGTGATAAATGAATGCAAGAATAAATCTGCGCTGATCAAATCTGCCCAGTGAATGCCAACTTCCTAGCTGTCTGGTTTTATAGTCATCATTTTCTAAAAAGCAATATCCCATGATGGTCAAAGGTGAAGTTTCTAGAAGTGTTGGCCATTGGCATGGATCCTACCTCCCACACAGGCGGCTCTTGGAGAAGTTACTTAATATTTTCAGAGTCCTGGTTTTCTTTTATGCAGAATAGGAGAACATATCACCTACCCTTTACAAATGACATGATTAAAATATTTTGGTCCACAGCTGGCCTTTGTAAATCACTTGAGCTCCAATACTGAACCAATTTGTGGAGGAGTAATACTCTGGATGTACCCATTGCTCAGCTGGAAGAACATGACAATTATGTACATATTTTGCTTCAGTCATCTGAATCATTTACTTAAAAGTATAATTACTGCTCACTTTATTAACGTCATTTATTTTCTGAAAATTAGCAGGATATTAATTTTATCTCTGTAACAAACTCCAATGACATCAAACATCGAAATAAAATAAGTAACGCCCCTATTATGACATAACCTCTTTTAAAAATTGTATCAGTGACATAAGAATTTGTTTTCATCATCAGGTGAAAAGATCTAGTAAATCATACCAAATTTAAAAAGCTGAAGACAGTTGATAATGGTAAATGGCTACCAAAAAATACCCCACTATATTTATTCAATAACAGGTGATTTTTAAGTAAATGGTGCAGTCAAATTTATTCAGAATGATCTGGGGTTGGATTCTATGCCTTTTGCATTTCACTAAGATTTCCAAAGAATCATCTTTTCTCTCTTTGCATGGAGTTATAATGCCAACATTGTCTAGTCACTACAGAGAATAAAAAGTAGAGACTATAAGTAACTGAGCTGGAATATCTGCTTTGTGCAGAATGCATGCTAAAAAAATCTTTTTGTCACACAGGCAAATAAAAAATCTAGGTGTTTCAGTGTAATAAAATAAATCCTACCTCTAAATCCTTGGGACACATCTCTTTGTTGGACACAGCAAGTGTAGATCTAGTCTGCAGCACCTTGTGGGGGTTAATAGATCCCATGATGAGAAGACAGCAGCATGATCTGGAAAAAAATTGTGTGTGTGTGTGTGTGTGTGTGTGTGTGTGTGTGTGTGTTTGTATACTGGGGATACTACTGCTCAGAATCAAGTTGCTTGCTTTCCTATCAGAGTTCCAGAGACTCCAAAAGAACATGGTTGTTTTATTCTATTTAAATATCTTTTTTTGGTACCAGTAATCAAAACTAAGGCCCTGTGCTTGCCAGGCAGGTGCTGTGCCACTGAGCTATATCACTGATCCCATTTAAATGTGTTGAAGTTGTAAACAATGATGGTACAGATGTGGTCAGTGCCTGGGTCAGTCTCTAGGGGCCCTGGTCTGGGGCTACCAATCTGTTCAGTGATATAACAAAGAACTAAAAGAGAGAGAATATATAGTTCAGTTACAAGAGGAACCAGGAGGATCAGAGCCTAAAGAAGAGCTAAGTCCATGAGGCATGGTGTCCCTGGACGTCATTAGGTGCACAACTTCATTGAGGGGTGTTCGAATGGCTGCAGGAAGTGATGGGGATGAGGGGAACTGTGGGCATAGACAGGGTTCAGGGATTTGAAGAACAAAACATTTTAGGAAAAGTACACAAGAACCAATGTGTGAACTCATAACCTGATTATCTGCTAACTGACACCACTGAGCTAGAAGGAATTCGGGTGAGTCAAAGTCCTCAGCTATAGTGTTGTTCTTGCTTTGAGGCCCAGGACGTCACAAATCATTTGCTGACTTTGGTCCTAGCCTTTGGCCTGGGAATTAATTTCATCCCATACTGGCTACAGGCTTTGCCACAAGTCTCTTAGGCCTAGAACAGACTCTTGATTCAGTTTACTTTTATGTGAATTTATTAATATCAATCATGGCATCTTTGTACAGCCTCACTGTTCCTCAGCATCAGCCATCTTTAAGAGTTTTTAGATTATCCTGGATCATAGCTAGCCAGACACATGGTCAGTTCACAGTCACTATGTTTGCGTCCAAAAAGCACATTACAATGCTAAAGAAAGAGACTCCTGTTGAATTGTTTTCAGTCTACTTTTGAAAGTAAACTTATCCCTTCCTTACCTAAGAGACTTTGTCCACCATAAAGCAGTTATTATTATTAATTATTATTATTTAAATAGTTTTATTGAGAAACAAATAGCAATGAGACAGTTTCAAAACCAATTACTAGCACAGTTTCAATAATTAATACATTACATATTGCTATCTTACTGGTTATTCATTGTACAAGATGCAGACATGATATCCTATCCACAAACACTATTAGAACAAATCTCTCTGTTCATTGAATTAAGAGTAAGTAGCTGTATATCTATCCTATTTTGAACATATAGATACAAAATGGTCATTCATTTGTACCCCCCTTTTTTTTAGTTTTGTCAGAGAAGGACATTCCATTGTCACTTAAATATGGTAGGTGCATGATTTCAGCAAAATATTCCAATATAGTCCAGAAGTCCACAGATGATTCAAAATCAAGATATATTTGCTTCCTTTTGCTAAAGACTTGGTTAATCTTCTAAGAGAGATCTTGCACCCCAAACCCAAAGGTTTTAAAATGCACCAAATTATTTAGCAAACCCTTGCAGTTTTCTTTTTCTTTTGATTTTTTTTTTGTGCATAAACCCAAACCGCCAACCTCAAAGACTTTATTTCAGTGCACAAACTATGCCAAGAGAAATTAGACACTTTTGGAAAATGTTTTAGCTTTACCATGCAAGAAAAGGGCATTCAGGGAAAATATTATTAAATATCAGACTGATATTTAAGTCTAAAAGTCAATTTCCACTTATTTGACCGTTCCATACTGACATCTTAAAAACAACTGTCATGGCTTTATATTAAGAATCTAGCATGTTCATACTTCCGTGCTAGGCCTCGTTTTCCAGGCAGGAGCAGTGCTCTCCCTGGAGCTGAGGCTGTCATCCACGCAGGACTACTTGCCTGTTCTTTCTTTTGTGGCACCTGTGTCTTTACTGAGAAGGTGACTCACTGACCACTGACTTTGAGAAGTTGCAGTAGTAAAATTCCTTTGCTGAAAGAATTTTTTTTTGACTCTATCTGGTCATTCAGAGTGCTGAAAATTCCCTCAGAATAGAATATGGATTGTATGAGTCCCTCTGACTTTATGTATGTTGCTCTTATAAATGTGCATCTGTCAAAATTGGTTACTTTTTCTAGTTGTGTTATTCAAATATGCTCGCTACTTGTCTTGAGTTCATTCTATTTAAATTTTTTTTCTTTTGCAAACTTTATATTGACCTCTTAGCTATTCTAGTACAAGTGTCTGGCTTTCTTGCATTGAACAAACTGAAGTTGAACAATAAAAGTTGCACTGAAATGCTGTGACTGGAATGTCTGTCTTCTTTTTGGTAAAGATTTCTGATAATCCTCGGGTTCTATATCTAACTATGAATAGCATGATAGTTAGATATAGACCACTTATTTAACAGTGAGTGGAGGTCTGCCTTTCCAGAGAGTCTGAGCACAAGCTGTTATGCAAACATCACAATCTTTTCTAGGTTTGCAATGGATGGAATCCGGCTGCTGCTGCTGCTGGCAGTTAGAGTGCTTCCAGGGTCCACTCAGTTCAATGGTTACAACTGCGATGCCAACCTCCACAGTAGATTTCCAGGTAAGTCTGAACCTAATCCATCCTCTAATTGCTTCTAGAAGGAGTGATTACATTTGAATAGTAAATCATTTAAATACATATAGACAAGGGGGTCTACCCCTTTACATTAAATGGATATTAATAAATGGCAAATGACAAGAGACATTTTTCTGGAGTTGTAATTTATATCCATATTAACATACAAAATGTTCATCAAAGATAATATTATTATAATGGCTGCTTGCAAATCTGAAAGTTATTGGCTAGATGGTAGCAAAATTGGAATAGACTAATTTCATTCAAAATTTGCCTAGTTGATGAATTCTTTTCATGAGTTAATTGACACTTTTAAAACTGCCCTTATAAATGAATATATTTATTTAGAAATAATGCTTAGGTAACTAATTGAGAAATATGTGTCACCTCCAAAATGTTTTTCTAGTGAACTGTGAGTTACCATTAAAGTACATAGTTCATTCAGCTTTGGAATTAATTTCATGGATATTTATTTGTGACAGGTATGATGTTTTGATTGTACTTATTGATTGTATATATTACAGATTCTTAAAATGTGCACTGATGAGAAGATATTCCATAATTCATTAAAGTATTTGTCATTTTTCATTGGTTAGAATTATCAAATCACATTTCAATATTTACTAATTAAAAATTAGAGAACGTGAACTTATTCTTACCAAGTCAGATATACAAACTGTATACTTTAGGCAATGTTTTGCATTTCATGAAGTTACAAAACTCTTGTGTTTTGAGCATGGTAGAGCTACAGCACATCTGCCTAGAGCAATGAGCTTGTAGCAGAAGTGAAATTTCTACACCAGAATAAAGATTAAGTGTATCTGAATGACTGTTTGAATTCAGACCTAGTGCCTATGCTCTCAGAAAATAAAGTCAAATATAGAGACCATGAGGAAGAGGGATGCTAAAGACAGTCTATCAAGGGATCTTAGGTAGGGACATTAATGGTTTTGAATATAATTTTTTTAGCATTTTTCATTATGGAGAATTTCAAACATGAAAAATAGAGTTGAGTAAAAAGGGCATTTATATTGACCATCTAATTTATCAATTACCAAATTTATATAAATTTTCATTTATTTTTCACTATTCCATTTGCTAGATGTTTCAAATAATGAACTTCATTATTCATGTGTAATGGAAAAGAACTCTGAAAATGATTACATTATACATATATTTTTAAAATTTCATTATTTTAATATTCTTTAATATTCAATAATGCTGCCTTTAATTGGCTTTTTTTTATAGACCTCGACACTTTGAATGTGGCTGACTGACACTTAATAGTGTCATTTAGCAGTTTAACTTTTGCCTGTACTTCCTATAATCTAATTGGACTTAGAGGTTTAAGTAAATATGAGTTCAAATATTTTGGTAAAAGTGATTTGTCTTATTGTGTAACCAAAGAGTGCTGTTTGTATTTGGTAGACAATGAAGACTCATGGAGTGTTTCAAAAATGCTTTGTTAAAGGTTTAGTGGGGTCATATTTAGTTTTAAAAAGAAAACATTTGGAAAAGCGAAAGAATCAATTTAGAAGAGACTAGAAGCTGAAATATAGAAGATGTTGGAGGGGGAGCAGTGGAAGGGACAACCTTATTAAGATTTTTTTTGTGATGGACTCACCAGATTCTGAGAAATGAGTCAATGGAAAGGCGAGAACAGGAAGATTAAAGTATGTTTTTGAGAATGTGCAACTGGCAGTTGATACTGTTGGGCATCATCAGAAATACAGGATACTTGGATACTTTGGGAGGCAGTTTGAGCCTGGACATGTTGTGTTAGGGGAATTTGATGGGAAAGAATGTACAGAGAGAGCTTCTGTGAGACGGTGGGAAGCACAGATGTAAAGCAGAAGAAGGAAGCCCAACTGGAAACAGCTACATGACAGTTGAAACCCCATTCAGTGTATGAGCAAAGATTGGGAGACAGAAAAATGAAAGGTTTCATGAAAGACTATGGGTTGGGTAATTTTTAGAGTAATTTGAGCCAGAAGTTGGAATAAGAAGGGTTTTTATTTTCTTTTTTGGGGGAGGTGTGTGTGTGTGTGTGTGTGTGTGTGTGTGTGTATGTACTCATGGTGGGGAGGGTCCCTGAGTAAAAGGAAAGCATTCAGAGGTTGGAAATATAATAAGGGAAGAACTGATGTGATGAGAAAATAGAGATGAGCTGTATTGTTCGAGGAATTAACCCTGGGAAAGCAACAGCTCTTTCTCTGATTTAAGAGAGACGAGTTAGACACAGTCAGAGAAGGTGAGAGATGTTATTTTTCCCCTCTTCGTACACTGGGAGGTGTCTTTATTCAAATTAGGGCCAGAGGTGTTGTAAAGCCTTGAACAGGTTGTTAAAACAAGGTTCTTCCATGGATGCTTAAGAAGTCTAAGATGTAAACAAGTTGCTTAGCAGAGAGGTGCTTGATATTGGAGTTATACATATTTGTAAGTGTGAATAAAACATGTTGATCAGCCCAGAAGTGACTAAGACAGAAAAAGAAAGTACATATCATATGATAAAAATTTTAATCATGTTGAAACATTCATTTACAAGGTATCTACTGAATACTTGCAACAATATCACCTTGAAAAGTTGTTAAAAGTGTGTATTTCATGACTTCACCCCAAATATGTGGTGTCAGAATCTCTGAATATGGTGACAGGAGTCTATTTTAGGTCCTGTAGATGATGCTAATGTACATTTATGGATAAGAACAAGTATATCATTTGAGGGTTCTTTATTCCAATTGAAAGTACAGTCATGTATTGGAAAAATATAACTTATAATAAAATCTTTTCCCAGCTCCCAAATTCTCTGTACTAAGGTAGTAGAGAAAAAAATACTTTACCATTAAATAAACATGAAGTATAGCAGGCTTCCCATGCAATCATTAAGAGATTCCAAAGATAAGAGAAAAAAAATAAAAAAGAAATCTCATCCTTCGATACAGTCAAAGAGATACGGTCCATTACATGTGATTTTCAAAATAAACAAAAGAGATGGTTCTCAAGGAAGAGGATTTGACAGTACCATTTGTCATGCCCCTGACTTATCTGGTAATTGGAATGACCATTTGTGTGAGCTTATTAGCTTTATCCAGTGGAAAAAATTAACTTCTCATAGGCTGTGGGCAGATGGTATCTTTGCCATTGGAGGAAGGCTCACACAAAATCAGGCTTCTACCTTCTCACAGAACTTGGGAGATGGAGTTGCAATCTCCCTTTGATATTTACATTTTAAAGAGCCCCCAATTCCTCGAGAAAGACATTGTGGGTCCCAAAGTTTGCAAAAATCTCATCTAGTTTTCAAGTGGATATTTATGCATTTCCAAGGAAGGAGAAAATACTTATAATTTTCAGTTCTCTAGAGTAAACTCTCTAAGAAAAAGGAGAAGTCTTTCATTTTGAACAGAGAGAATGTAGCCTCCTACTGTAGTTTGTATTCTTCTTTACAAATACTAGACTTTTTAGTATTGCTTGGTATTTGTTTAGTATCTATGTATTTGAAATATATATA